GGCCAGGTCTGAGACTGCAGTGGTTCGTGCTGTCCTGTCTTCAGTGCTCTTATGATGTCCCTCCTCCAGGTAAGTCAGCTTGCTAGTCACCCATTAATGTGCATTCACAGAGACCACGAAGAAGAAAAAGAGGTTACTTACCTGTAACTCTGGTTCTTCAAGTGGTCATCTGTGAATTCACACTCCCCGCCCTTCCTCCCAGCTGTCCGTCACATGTGCTAGTTGCATACTATGTAGTGGCGGACGGTTCTAAGGAACTGAGGCACTCGGTGTTAGGGGGCGGGGTTATTAGCTTTATTTGTCACTTCGTTGATTTGTATACATTTGTTGCTTCGTCACCCCTTTTCTGGGCCTCCTGTGCCGCATGCAGCATGCTGGTACCAATCAGGAGCTCTGGGCAACCCTAGGAGGGACTTCAAGACTCCTGGATTGGCGAGGCGGCCAGCCAGTAGCGCTGCTGAAAGGGCTGTGCAGGTGTACCTTTTTCAGAGGCTGTATAAGCATTTTCTTTGCAGCCATTTCACATTTCTGCTCTGAGGCAGTAGAGTTGGTGCTGTGCTGTACTTTGCTTTCACTTTTCTTGCAACAAAGCAAACACTTCTATTTTTCATTTACAGTGGTGCCTCGCATGGCGATTGCTTCATATAGCAATGAAATAGCTTTGCGATGAAGATTTTGTGATCGCTTTTGCGATCGCTTTGCGATGTTCCCTATGGAGGAATTTCACTTTGCAATGCTTCTTTAACAGCTGATTGGCGGAAGGAGGGGCAAAGGGCCTGGCCCCGATCCCCGCGTGCACCCCTGGGTCGCTGACCTGGCAGTGGGTGGTGCGCCCCTTGGAGGAGGAGCCCGCCCAGGACCGGGATCAGGGCGGCAGCGGCTGGGCAGGGGGGCGGCACACCAGAGACCTCCTCCTCGCCCCATCTGCGCCCCGGGAGAGCCCTGCTAAGGAGACCGGCATCGTGCGGGGCTGGCTGGCAGTGGAATTTCGTTTTGCCATGATCGGTTCCCTGCTTGGGGAACCGATCATGGCAAAGCAATGCTCCTTTAACAGCTGATTGGCGGTTTCAAAATGGCCGCCCACTGTTTTCTGGGATGGATTCCTCGCTTAACAGGCAGTGAAAATGGCCGCGCTATGGAGGATCTTCACTGAACAGTGAGTTTGAAGCCCCTAAGAACGCATTAATGGCGTTTTAATGCGTTTCTATGGGCTTTTTATTTTCGCATTGTGGCGTTTTCGTTTAGCAGCGATTTCGCTGGAACGTATTAACATCGCCGTGTGAGGCACCACTGTAATTTATCTCATTATTATTTGAAAATACTGGGAATTTTGGGAGGGCAAATTTTTAGTTGAGAAATTATTTTGAGGCTTGTGTTCAGGCAGGGTGGGTGTGGTGTGTACTGGGTGTCTATTTGGTTATTTTAGGGGTATACAATTAATTTTCCTGCTCTTCCCTGCCCCAGCTACTCTTTTTTTTAAAAAAAAAAATTTAAACCCTTCAATTCCTCCCCATCATCCTGTTTCTCCTTTTTTTAAAAAAAAATGTATTATTATACTCTCTCTATTATCTCTATTAGTTTTTCCTTCCCTTTTATTTGTAAAGTGGTTTAGCAGGCAGGAATAATAAAGCAGGTGAAAATAAAGGACGGTGCCCATGGGGTATCCAAGGGGAAAAGCCTGTAGGCCAGGCACCACTGCCATTCTTCCTCCAGTGGCCTTCCCGGCATGTGTGGAAGCAGAGCTTCTAGCAGTGCCCAAGAACTGCTGCTCCTTGAGGAATCCAAGGGGTTACTGGTTCCAGAGGATGAAACCTCCCAGTCCTTGGAACAAGGAAGGACAGGGGAGGCTTTACAAACACTCCCACTTCTGTCCCCAGAGTGATCTCTTCCATCCTCCCAGACCGCACCACTGGCACACAGTTTTTCCACACCAGCAGTATTCAGGCAGGCAGTGGGTCATCATTTTGCCAAACAGGGCAGAGGGTCCCTGTCTGATCATTTCACAGCAGTCAGTGATGACCCATGACTGGCATGCTGCAATGCCTGCCTTGTGGTGGTCTGGAGGGGGTCAGACCCCAGGCATCTGTCTTCCAGCACCCTCCGCCATCATCTGGAGAGACGCCACCCAAGGCTGCTGTTTGGGGAAGGCTGTTTGTCACCGCCGTCTAGTGCGGAGAGAAGAGCAGCCCCAAGGGAAGAAGTGGGGAGTCAGAAGGAGACACCTCCTTTCAAAAGGGCAGCCTTGGGCTTGCTGGAATTGAGAGCATGAGGCAAGTCCACACTCCACAAAGTTGTGCCCATGAGATCTGTACTGACCCTCAGCTGGTGGATGAAGAGCACTCATTGCCAATAAAGTTGCTCTGCTTGACTTTCTACTGTTCACTGTGGAAGCCCTGCCCTTCTGCCAGTTGCTGCATTTTTTTCACCCTCTCATATGACACCCCCCCCACTCATAGAGAACTATCAGTTCTAGAGTCCTGCTCTCACTTTATGACTCCGTGAGGGAGGTGGTCTAGTTTCCACAGAGCAGAAGATGCACTTCACAGTGGACCTGTGGAATGGAGGTCACCACGGGTACCTCTCACTCACGTCCCACTGGTGGCAGCTGGAGGACCTGAGGAGTGGCAGGGCATTGGCAGCATGGCCATAGGGGAAGGCCCTTGTCCTGCCCTATTGCTCCTGATGCTACTACAGTGGCTAGGATCCAGAAACCAAATTGTAAATATCACAAACCACAACAGGAATAGAGAAAACATCCAAGTTCAAGTTTTATGTATTAGCTAAAAGCTGTCACAATTGTTTAAAATACAAATCTGATCAAATAAAATCATGATAAAATCACTGACATATAAAATAATAAAAGACACTTCATATCTAGGAGTCCCCTGCACAATTGATCTTTCAGGAAATTAGCTCGAATATTTCTGGCTGCTTTTGCAAACAGCGCTGTTCTGTATGAAACATAAGTGTCACAGTCCAAAAGTAACCTGACCACCTTTATCTGAGGGCTTTCCTCCTGTAGAGTAGCCAAAATGTTACCCAGGAATTTTTCTCTGGGGTTTTGATACAGCTGACAGTTATGTAAATAGTGGACAACATCCTCTATCTCACCTGCTCCACAAATACACAGCCTTAGATGCTAGGGGACATCCATGTACCTGCCGTCTAAGACAGTGGTTGGCATGGTTTGATAACGGAGTTCTATGAATGCGGTTCTCAAGGAGGGAAAAGTAAGTTTTTGTACATATTGCACCCTTGAGTGGTTTGTTTTCAGCAGATGGTACCACTGAGAGAAATTTGAAGAATGGATTAAGAATAAGTCCTGGTCATTATCCAGTTTGTACAGTGAGTCCCTCAACATTCTTTTAACCCCAGAAAAAACAAAAATATCTTTAGAGAAGGGTTTAAAGTTTAGTAGGGCTTGAACTGAGGTTGCCCAGCCGCCACTCTTCCATTGCTCTACCATGCAACGTTTAGGTAGACGGTGCGATTTGCAGCAGGATCTGAGTAGGCTCAAAGATATTTGTGTTCCTTGCAGCCTCCCTCAAGTGTTGGGCAAGTTGGGGTTGGGGTTTCTTTTGTGGATCAATACTGTTGTTTTCCCCATCTGGTTGCCTTGCGTGTTCCTCTTTAATTGAGGGTTTCTTGGTGCTTGGGTCAGTGATTCCGTGAGTTTCCCCAAAGCGGTTTCATCTGCATTCATTTTATGGCACACCCTTTGTAGATTATTAAATATTGCAGAAACAGGTTGAGCTGTGAGCAGACAGTGTTCTGCTAAGTGGGTAGGCAGATGTTCGATAAGTGGCATCTGAAAGAGCCTTAGCCGGGGAAGGCAGGGAAGGTTCAGCATTTAGCTCCTCAGGGATTGGGAGCGTTTCATCCCCCAATATTGCAAATTGGTTGCTTAGGGCTGTGGGGGCCCCAGCAATTAAATTACTCACTGCGCAGTTGGTTGTTAGAAGCTTTTCTATTTTCAGTTGCTTTGCTGCTTTGGCTGGGTGATGACCTGGGCTTGATCTATGACGTTTATTTCCCATTCTCACTAATTACGCTGTGTTTTAGGTCAGTGAGAATTTGAGGATTTGCTGATTGCAGGTTTGCTCCTCTCACTGATGACAATCTGTCTCCCTTGTTTATCTCAAATACTTCTAATTACAGTCACTGCTCTCTGGTATGCAATGTCCAAGTTCTCGTAAAGTAGAAGTAAAGGTTTTGTAGTCCTTTGTGAGGAGGCTTGTAGTTCTGGAAGGGGAATTTAAAGCCACAGGTGTGAAGCAAACTCAAAAGAAATGCTTCAGCCAGAAACCAGGACACAAAATCTTTATTAAAAAGTTAGGCAGTAAAAGTCCTTTGTTGTCTTATGTGGCACTCTTCTTCCTTCATACCATCCAGTTTTCAGTTAAAATATAAGATAAAATGTGAGGTAAAATATAAGGTAAAATATGAAAATATGTTTAAAAATATAGAAAATATAAAAGCTTCAGCATTCTGGATTCAGTAAAAGGCTATTTTTGACGGCAAGCAAATCTCATTCAAAGAAATGCTGAGTGATTAGTTTTTCGGAGTAGGCAGTTAAAACCATAATAAAACAATGCTAAGCAGTAATAAGCAAGTGGAGGAGGCTACTCCTGGTAGCGGCTGACCCTTCTATGATGAAAGCTGCAAGCAGTAAAAACTTATTTCTGAAAGCTTAAAAGATAAAAGAGTAAAAACATAAGAGGGAGTGGAGCTTGGAGCTTGCCTGCTCGTTCCTCAGCACTCCCAGCAATAATCGGGTCGTTATACCCAGTGTGAAGTGTGCCCTCTCCAGAATACTTAATCTGTTTGCATGCTCAACTGTTTCTGTTCTTTTCTTTCTTCACTGAGCATGCTTACTCCTCAGTGAGCTGCGTTGGGGATTCTCACTGACTTCTCACCTAGCAATCACCTTTCATCATTAAAACAGAGAAGGAATGTCTTCTTCCCCCACCCCAAATTTTATTCTTTTTCTTCTGTTTTAGGAGCAGACAGCCCAACCTGTAGCAATGGAATGACGTCCATAAAAAACAGACAGAGTCACAATAAATATCCAGCACTCACTTCGTCGTCATCGTCCTCTTCCTCATCATCCCCTTCCTCAGTCAACTACTCAGAATCCAACTCTACAGATTCCACCAAGTCGCAGCAGCATAGCAGCACCAGCAACCAAGAAACCAGGTAGCACAGAAGCATTTTTTCTAGAAAGAGATCTGTGCAGGTGCCAGCTATTAATAGCAGGTGGTAGAAATTCTGGGTTCTGGATCTTCTGTTCCAGCCTTCTGGCTCTGGAGCAGCCTTTTAAAACCTTTCCTCCTTCAGAGGAGGTGGACTGAAAACCAGCTCCCTGGTTATGGAATTATGTAGGATATAACTGCAGATTTCTGGAGGATGTTGGGGAGAACTACTCTGGGGAGTTTGAAGAGTGCAAGCAGATGCACCCAAGTCCATTTTCACCACAGTTTTTTATTGTGGTATGTCTGGATCACAGCAGAATATAATCTAAATAATTTCATTCTGAAAATCCACCCAGAACTCTTTATCGATCTGCAGCTTCTTCCAGCTGTGGATTGAGGCTGTGTCTTTCTTGCTTATCTATCTTCCTACTTCACTACTGAAATGCAGTGGTTTTTCTCTTTTGCTCCATGCAGCGATAGTGAGATGGAGATGGAAGCAGAACATTACCCCAATGGAGTCTTGGAAAATTCCACCACAAGGATAATGAATGGCACTTACAAGCATGAAGAGATACTTCAGACAGATGATTCTAGCATGGGTAGGATTCAGGATGGAGAACGTCCTCTCTTCAGTATATTCATCAAGTTTCAGTGATGCATCCAGTGCAGGAGCAGATTTTGCTCTGTCCAGGGCCCGTTTTTATCCTTCCCCATACCTCAATGGACCATAATTATGTTCATACCCCTTAAACTCCCCATGCAAAAAAAAAAAAGTTTGGGGACATGAAAATGGACAGTTGCTTTAATGAGCACAGTAAGTGAAATAGTTAAGTGGCCAAACATGCCCCTGCCCTGGAAACCTCTGGTAACACAGTAATTTTCATGCTAAAAATATGTATATTTGCATAAGGGATTAGACACTTTGCTCATACACACACACTAGTGAAACATAACTAGCTAGAAGACTTTTGCATTATTCTGTCTTTCTTGTAAAAGTTGTTATTTTTGAAGAATTTGACTTTGTATGTTCAGTCTGAATATTTACGAGGTGTGGGAAATCCAGAAACCAAAAATAGATTGTTTCTTCTTTCTGTGGAGGCTTTTTTGCTGTGGAGCAGCCTTTCCCAACTTTTTCTCTCTATGCAATGCAGCTCTTATGATACTTCTGTAGTTGCTTTTGGGCTCACTAGAATTGGACTAATGGCTTTTTGATGAAGGGGATGCGGAGGAGGAGAATTGCCTCAGTGCTGTTTAGACTCATCTTTGTTGACAGTCTCCTTCTTTTCCTTCAGTAGAAGATGGCTGTCATCAGAAGCAGCTTTGTGGAGGAAACCATGCTGCTACTGAGCGGATGATCCAGTTTGGACGGGAGCTGCAAATCCTGAGTGAGCAGCTATGCAGAGAATATGGAAAAAACACTACACATAAAAAAATGTTGCAGGTATTTCATTTTGCTCAGAAGTCTTCCTGATTTGTAGCTTGAATGGCTACTGCTTATTTGTTAATTCAAAAGAATTCTATCCCATGTTTTGGTTATAAAATTTCAGGAGCAGCTTACACTTTTCTATATTTTTTCAGTTTCACAACAGCATATGATAAAAATAAAAAACAATAGAAAAAACAATAGTTAAAAGGAACGCTAGTGCAAAATATATTTTACAAATTGTGTTGTTGCTTAGTCGTTGTCGTGTCTGACTCTTCGTGACCCCAGGGACCAGAGCACGCCAGGCCCTCCTGTCTTCCACTGCCTCCCGGAGTTGGGTCAAATTCATGTTGGTTGCCTCAAAGTCACTGTTCAATCATCTCATCCTCTGTCATCCCCTTCTCCTCTTGCCTTCACACTTTCCCAACATCAGGGTCTTTTCCAGGGAGCCTTCTCTTCTCATGAGATGGCCAGAGGATTGGAGCCTCAGCTTCAGGATCTGTCCTTCCAGTGAGCACTCAGGGTTGATTTCCTTTAGAATGGATAGATTTGTTCTCCTTGCAATTCAGGGGACTCTCAAGAGTCTCCTGGACTGCAAGGAGACTCTTGAGAGTCTCCTTGCCGTCCAGGAGACTCTTGAATTGTGGTCCTTGCAGCACCACAATTCAAAAGCATCAATTCTTTGGCAGTCAGCCTTCTTTATGGTCCAGATCTCACTTCCATTGTTCACTACTGGAAAAACCATAGCTTTGACTATGTGGACCTTTGTCAGCAAGGTGATGTCTCTGCTTTTTAAAATGCTGTCTAGTTTTCTCATTGCTTTCCTCCCAAGAAGCAGGTGTCTTTAAATTTCGTGGCTGCTTTCACCATCTGCAGTGACCATGGAGCCCAAGGAAGTAAAATCTGTCACTGCCCCCATATCTTCTCCTTCTATTTGCCAGGAGGTGATGGGACCTTTAATCTTTGATCTCTCTCGATTGAGAGCGAAGACCAAAGTCCAACTGAAATGCATGCAGTAATTCCTCTTTGGCGATAATGCAGGCATTGTTGCCCACTCTGCTGAAGACCTCCAACAACACATGAATCGTTTTAGCAAGGCCTGCCAAGACTTTGGACTATCAACTTGAAGAAAACACAAGTCATGGGCCAGGGCATGGTCACCTCCCTCTGTTACCATCTCCACACAAGAATTGGAGGTTGTTCATGCCTTTGTGTACCTTGTCTCAACGATCTCTGACACACTCTCCCTATATGTCAAGTTGAATAAAATCATTGGCAAAGCAGCTACCATGTTCTCTAGACTCACAAAGAGAGTATGGGTTAATAAAAAGGTGATGGCATATACCAAGATCCAGGTCTATAGAGCCTGTGTCCTGAGCACACTCCTGTCCTGCAGTGAGTCTGTGCACAGCAAGAGAGGAAGCTGAACACGTTCCGTATGCGTTGTCTTCGACACATTTTTGGTATCACCTGGCAGGACAAAGTTTCAAATAGAGTAATCCTAGAATGAGCTGGAATTTTTAGCATGTATACATTACTGAAACAGCGACAGCCATAACACAATCAGAGGCTGGAATCTTTCTATCCTCCTCCATTTGCCCACTAGTTTGTTGTACAAAGTGATGGGACTTCTTCAGAACTTGCAGAAGAAGGTATGTGCTGCTTCTTTGCATTGTCATAATGCCATGTTGGAAAGAATGGGGCAATCTGCTCAGGTCACTCAGCAGAGCCCAAGTGCAACCCCATTGTACAGGAAAGGGAGGCAACAGACCTAACAGCACCTTCACCCCCTCCCCCACTGTTTTGGGCTGGAGGAGGAGGAAGAGCAGGTTTCTGGTTGAGATTATAGAAACGCCACAGGTGGAACATGATGGGCACTCTGTTGGGCACTGGTCAAAGAACTAGAATGCTAACAGTCTTTTAATGAGCCAAGAAAATAGCACTGTTTTGCCTTGGAACCTAAATCTTGTTAGATTTGCTAACAAAGGAACAAATGAAAAGAGAGTGTTCCACAAATAAAGCACCATTACCAAGAAGTCTTGTTTTGTATTCATTTGCTATCTCATATCAGAGGACAGTAGATTAACTGCAGTGAGGAAATGTGAGCGGTGGGCTCCAGAATGGCAATTCTGTGCCTGTCCTCCCTGCGTATAAATGTGTTTCTTTGGGTACAATTCTGTGCTATGGAAAAAAATATTTTCTCCTTACTTTCAGTATTATGGCTTTCAAATTGCTTTAAGTTACACAGAAAATCACATAAAATTCGAACACCTTACAGCATGCTGCACCTTGAAAGCCCCATATCAGTTCCGACTTCACAACATACAACGACGACAAAAGATCTAGACTACTATCCAAGGTTCCCAAGGTGCATGGGGTGAACCATACCTAAGAAGCCCTTAATTTCTTTTACTGGGAAACCTGCCCCAGCTGCAGCTGGCTAGCATAGTGAGCAGACCACCTTGTTAGGCACAGCAAACACACTTTCTTAGTGTACTACATCTGGATCCTGGGGTGAGGCCAGGGAGAATGCTGCTGACGCCACCCTTGCAGGCCAAGCTGTAGGGTTGGCTGTCCTAGAGATAAGAAGACTCCGAGGGGGAGGGATACTGACAGGATGCTAAAGACTGGTTTGTGCTCAAGGGAGGAGAAGCCTGTGCTGAGACTCCACCGTGAAGGGAGCAATGCCTGAAGCAACTGCCAGGGCAAGAAGAGACAAAGCGAGGCTCCAAGAAAGCTAGAGGGATGCCAGGATATGCTGGAGACCAAGCAGGCAAACAATCGGGTCTCCTGCCTTCCTGCCTTGAGCCCTGATCCTCCGGCTACCACACGCATCCTGATTTCTGCCTCCATACCCTGTGCCCAGCCATCTCCTGAAGCAGTTTCTGCTCTGCCTCCTGTCGTGCTGCCCCAGGAGGGGGAGATGTATGAACATTCCTCCTGTCAGGGACCAAAGACTAAGGGGTGTTTGCCTCCTGCCTGCAAAGCCCCTGACAGTTTTCTTTAAGAGACATTTTGGTGAAGCTGGACTTTGGGAGTGAAGTAACTTCCTGGTGCCCATAAGACTATGTTGACCTGATGGACTGGGGTCTGTGGCTCATTGCAGGAGCTGGACCTAGTTGGGGACTTGTCTGCTACCTGCCCAAGGGGGCCTGACTGGACAAAGACTTCTTCCTTCTCTAGCTTGACAGAGCCTGGGTCTGACTGCACTGTGCCCAGTCCTGCTAAGGACTTTTTAGTTATTGGCCCAGAAGGTCCTGGGTCTGCAAATGATCATGTATCCACTGTATGTTGGGGTCTGCGTCTGTCAAAAACTTTTTCTATTCAGGGTCAAGCCAGACCTGATACTGTAAAAGACTTTCGGTCCAAGTTGTTTTTCTCCCTTTAATAAAGCTCCTTCTTCTGGAAAGACTCAGCCTGTCATCATGGAAGGGTGGCGGGGGTGGCTCATAGTTATGTTAGCATTTAACTTCATCATCACTCTTCTTTCCATGCTGCAGTAGATTGTGGAAGCTAACTGAAATAACTCTGTTCTTTTTCACCTGAAACTGCATGCCAAACCACAGTTAAAATTCACCAACCATGGCTTGACTTTTCATAGTGTCTGGAATGAGCAATTATTTATCTTGATCTGCTCAAGAACCATCTAATTAATTTCAGTGTTGACCGCAGTGCTAACAGAACAAATCCAGCTCACTCTGGATTGAAAATGCTTAATTCAACATTTTAAGTCAAGTTGTGGTTTTATATAATGCTTTTTTTTCCTCCTTGCTCTTGAACAAGTCTTGAAGTTGATGTGACTACATGTGCCTATTTTTTGTGTACTCTATACATCCACTTTGACATTTTGATTCATACATAGTGGCCAAAATCCTATTGCTTAGTGTAGTAAATTGCTCTAGAACAGGAACATAGAATCAGTGGGGATCTGATGAGTCAAGTCCTCTGTAAATTCTGTTGGTTCAAATGAGCCTACTCCAACTGCAACTTGCTTTAACCTTTTGTTTCCACTTCCTTTCTCTCTCTTCTCCCCCAGGATGCCTTCAGCTTGCTTGCCTATTCCGATCCATGGAACTGTCCTGTTGGTCAGCAGCTAGATCCAATCCAGAGAGAACCTGTATGTGCTGCACTCAATAGTGCTATATTAGGTGAGTTGACCCATTGGGAACTTAGCTCACACTTAGTTTTTTCTTCTTTGTACATCTGTCGATACAATGAAGTGACAAACCTGGAAAGCCCTTTGCAGAACTTTGGCAAGGGATAACCTTGTCAAAGGATTTCGGTCAGAGAAATCCAGCCATACATTAATTGTCCAGCTACAAGAGAGAAGCGTTTCCACAAAATGAGGCATTAGTAGGTTTACTTATGCTCAGCTGTCTGTCACAGTGGGCTCCATTTATATGACTGCCACCAGATGGATACCACTTAACAAGACTTCTGTATGGCCATTGCTTCGTGGAATAGTTGTAATGGAAGAGCATTTTCTTTTGATTTCCTCATCATCCGTGAGGACCTCCTGGGAAATAGACCATGACTGCTGTCACCATTTTAAGAGTTAGGCAACAACAAGATGATTGCCACATGCACTTTATAGTGAGGTTGTCATGGCAAGCAAGCTGGCTAAAGGTCTGAGCAAAGAGGCCTCCCTTGAAATCTGTCTCCCTCATGGAGTACTTAGTAGCTTTAGACAAACTAAATCTCTCAGCTTCAGCTCTCCTATTTCCAAAATGGCCATAACAGAACTATGTATTATGTAATATAGGGTTATTGGAAATATTTATGACATAATATGTGTAAGTGGTTTTGATATCCTAACAAAAGTAATGACTCAGGCCAACTAAAATTAGACAAATCGTTATAGTGGGAGAAAGTTAAGCAAGTATTCAACTTCCATATTGAAATAAATGGCCTATTTGATCTTGGATAGATTGGCATCACAATGCTGTGTTTGTATATCCTGGACCTCTGTCATTAGGCTTCAGAGGGATCTTTCCCCTGGTACGCCCTATAAGCATCTGATTATTCAAGTTCCCTAAAGTCTCACAACCCTTTTCCAGCTGTGTGACAAGGCACATTCTTACAAAGCTAACTTAAGCTCTGTGCTGTGTGTGTGCTAGAGGTTTGCAAAAGTTACTTTTTAAACTATAGCTTCTAAAGACTCCCTAGGATTATGAGAGTTACAGTCAAAAAATTGAATTTTCCAAGTTCTGGGAGAGCTTTAATAGAGCTTATGGGTACAGAGGCGGGAGGAAAGAAGCTGGGATCTGTGATGAATGTTGTGAAGTCCTCTTTTTCCTCTCTTTTCTCTTTCTTTTCCCAGAGTCTCAGAACTTGCCAAAACAGCCCCCGCTGCTGCTTGCCTTGGGCCAGGCCTCCGAGTGCTTGCGGCTCATGGCCCACGTGGGCTTGGGCTCCTGCTCCTTTGCCAGAGTGGATGACTATTTGCACTAGCCACTGAGTGAGACAGAGGGACCCCCTCCAGTGCTGCCACCATCACCTCCCCTTTTCCTGCCACCCCTCCGCCTCCCCTCTGCAGAAGGACGCATTTCGTGACTGAAAGGGGGAATCTTTGTTATGCCTTCATTTCTGACATTGGAAACTGCTTGGCAGGGTCCTCTCATCATCCTCACCACCAACTCTGCCCTGCAGCTGCTGCAGCACTCAGTATTTTCACTGGTCATTCTGATGTATAGCGCCTTCTGACTTTAGGATTTTATCTTTATTTTATTTTATTTTATTCTGTTTTTTCTCTGAGCCACCAGTATTTATATGTGGAGAATTTGTGCTGAGCTGGTTTCTACTAATGTAGAGATAAAAGTGTATCTGAGTTGGTGATGGCCTGGTTTTTAAAAAAATATATATCATGAAGGGAAACTGTTGGCGTGCACGTCACTGGCACAGTATTGTTCTGTCGTGCTAGTCCTCTAAAAGGGCAAGAGGTCTTAGTGTGTTCACTGAAGTCTGACGCATGCTGCCAGAACTCTGCTGCTTTGGATGAATGGTCCTTTTTTATTTCTTACACATCCTGCACCACACAAAGTCAAAGAAATCTCTGCTTTGCAGAAGGATCATTAGAAGCTCTATCTTGGCTAGAGACGAGTGCAAAGAATCAAAATAAAAGGTGCTCAGTATCTTCAGTCAAATGTCCCCTGAAAGTGAGGATAAGCCTAGACGCAATCAGTGGCTGAAAGTAGTAAGTCACAGCTAGAGTAGGCTTAATGAATTAGTGGACCTTACAGAGGAGCGGACTCAGTAAACCCTCACTGATTCAGTGTGCTGCTCAAGTTGTAACTTACCACTGGATTTCACTGCATCTAGAATTTCTTGACTTGAATCTATTGGCAATCAGATATCAGATTGAAAATTCCAGGACCAATGAAAGCTATTAGCACTTCTAGTCTAACATGGTCATTTTAGATGGCAGATGGGACATGCCTTATAGAAATGTAGGGAGTAGTGACTTTTCCCTATCATAGTTACAGCACTCATACGATATTTTGCAATTGGAACGGAAGAAGGGAGCTGTGTGCCACTTCACTCTTTCCTGTTTTATTTCAGCTGGTAGCCCTTTCCTGGGGCCTTTCACCTGGACTGACATCTACCTCTTGATGCATTTGTTACTCATTAGTTTCTCGGTAACTTGTTCATCATAACCAGTGAGTAGCCCACAGACTAGCTTCAAGACTCAGATGGATACATGGGGAGCCAGCTCTTATCTCCATTGTTGGTTACAGATCTTGGAGATACTGAACTGAAGATTCTTGGGTGTTTCTGTGACAACAATATAAAATAATTTTTTCATTCAATTGGCTTACTGACTAAAATGTGAAATTCAGCATATAAGCCAATGTTTTTACCTTTTTTGAAACAAAATTGTACACATTTTTTACTCCAGGGAATAGCCATTATTTATTTTTATTGCTTAGCTAGCCTTTTCTAATCCAGTGTGTTGCCATAATCTTCACAAAATACTGCTAGACATTGTGAATGGAAATCTCACACGCCAACTTAAATTATTTGTGGGTGTACATATGTACTTGGAGAAGCATGCTTTATTAAAAACCGCTATATCTGGATATGTGATATATAGTCAAACTTTATAGTTGTTGGCTTGCTGGCATATTTTCACCACCTTGTCAAATCTCAAAATATGGGGAAATGGAAGAAAAGTAGATTCTCATACATTCAGCATGCAAAGCTTTTAATTAGTGATATTTCAGTTTACATTACAGAGACTCTTAATGTTACTAATAACACTGTCCATTTGGGAAGAAATCTATTGTTATATTTAATGTGAAGACAGACATGCAGAGAGGACCACATACACACACAAATGCACAGTAAAATTGGAAAATCATGGATCCAGAGCTGTTGACAGAAATTAGAACTGTTCAGGAAATGGGAATGTTCCTTCACAATTCCTATTAATACTACTGGATAAATGAAAAGTAACTCACTATGGATCAGTGGATACCCAACTTCCCTCCCAGGGGTGTACATGAAGTAGCCAGAGAGGCCGGATTGCTGCATTCTTTGCAGGGCTGGATTGAATATTTCTAAGAAATACTGCAAGAATGTAAATCAACAACATGACTGTGGAAAACACAGTACCAATTTCCTCATTTTGCCACTTTTGTGTCCTTCCCTTTTATGTTACTCTTTTTCCATTATCCTCTTTATTGCCTTTTTCCAGGTGCTAGCAGATAACATGATTCTTTGACAGCATATTTGAATGTGTTTCTTTGTTTGTGCATTATCATCCTGCAATTTTACCAGTTTAAAGCCCTCTCAATATTAACTTACATATTTAAAACTGTGCAATAAAATTGCATTAACATAGTAATCAGTCAATGCCAGTCTGAAAACATAGATGGATAAAATCCATCCCTACTACCATTCTCAGCTGTACGCCGTAAATGGCAGATGCCTATGTAAACGTCCATGTCTTCACCCCATACTCATTTCCTTTCCCTGTACTGTTAGTCTTTCTCTGCTCTCCTTGTTTTTGCCATTTAATATTTTTAATGTTATTTTAAGTTTTTGAGTTTGAGCACAAAATCT